TACTTTCATAAATATTTAGAACAAATCTGGAAAGTAAATTAATTATTGTTAGTTGTATAAAGAAAAATATTTGGTGGCTGGGGATATGGCTCAGTTGGTAGAAGTTGGTAGAGTGCTTTGTTCACATGCACAAGGCCCTGGGTTCAATCCCCAGCACCATAAAAAAAGAAAGAAAGAAAGATTCCACAGGATTAATTAATTTGCTTAAACTCACAGACCTAGTAGTAGCAGAGGTATGTACAAGCCTAATATTTTGTTATAAAATGCATAATCTTTTCACAGTATAGAAAGATTTGAATAATATATTATGGGTCAAATAGGAGAATGAGGTGTATCATATAACTCTTAACTTTGGAAGGAAAAGATGGAGCTACTCTTTGACATACTAAGTTTGACATACTAAGTTAAATCTTCTGGTAGAAGTGTCAGACTGGCCATTGGAAATGTCTTTAGCTTAACAGAGAGGATTTTTATAAAGATTAGAATTCATAGGCATTTGATTAATAGTTGGTCATGACAGTGGATTAAATTCAAAGAGGAAAGAGAGAGCTAAAAATACAATCTTCAGGATCTGGACATTTTGGAAATTGGGAGAGAAAGAGAGGCTGGTAGAATATATATATATATATATATATATATATATAAATTATGCATGTCATAGAAACCAGAGAGGAGACAGATTCAAATAAGAGGGCATTGAAAATAATATTAAGACAATGGGATCTGATTACAGGAAGAGGGACTCTAATACACATTTTCATATAGAATTTTAACTGGGATTTCAACATGTACTCACTCAGATATATGGTTTTAACATTTTTCCAAAGATTTTCATTAGCCTTAATTTTAATGTGTGGGACTATTACATAAACATGTTTATAGTAAGCTTTTAATTGTATCTGAAAGTGCTTAAAGCAATATTTCTAGCAATGATCTTTGGACTCTCAGTCTCTCACAAGCCCATTTAAATACAGAGCATTTCCTTAGAGGAATGTGGTTTTTAAATTTTACAACACATTTTTTGTTTGGTACTGGGAATTGAATCTAGAGCCTCTTAACCATGGAGACACATCCATTTTTACTTTTTATCTTTAGAGGAGGTCTCAATAAGTTGTTTAGGGCCTCACTAAGTTGCTGAGGCTGCCTTTGAATTTGTGATCCTCCTGCCTCAATTTTCCTAATTGCTGGGATTACAGGCATGCACCACAACCTCCGGTACACTGTGAATTTTTTAAGGATATGTTATTTTATTTTTCATTGACATCTATGCCAAGAACACTATAGAATAATTGTATTTTGGCCATCAATTTTTGCCATATTTCAATTTTTACTTGTTTTAAAAATCTCATTGCAGTTCACTTATAGTACCATCCTGAGTTTAGACTCCAAGGGGAAAATAGTTTTTATTTAAGTTGGTGATGATCTTGTTAAGTGCTGCCTAAGAACAAACATTATAAATACCTAGTGCACTAAAGTAATAATTGAATTTTAATATTAAAACTCAAGTTATTAGGTTAGTGTATATACATGTATTCTCTTACTCTGATGAGACCCTAGAAGCAGTCATACCTAATAAATTAAGCACACCTAGTACCCAGATGTTGATTTCTAATATAATTAACCAATGAAAAGAACTTAGGATCCTTGCTGAAATGTCTGATTATACTTTAAAAAAGTAAGATTATGGCAACTTCTAGTGTCAGGCAGTAAGGGAAATCTAACAATAATTCTGTGATAATAAAATATGTCAAAGGGACAGATGAGCCAGTTGTAAGAGCTGCTAATGTTTAAACCTTGAATGATTTAAGCAACAGAATGAATGAAGCAGTATTAGTTTTTAAACCAAATTATACAGGAAAAGTCCATAAGCTGATATTTATATAAATACATCATACATTTATATATATGTACATAAATATGTTTATATTATGTAATTTTATTACTCTTCCAGAGAAAAATGTATATTAACTTATAAAAATTCAATGTAAGAATTTTTAAAACATTATATATTTATGTAAGTAAATCTTGTCAGTTAACTTAAGACTTAACTTTGTACAGAAATCTTTCATTTCCATTATTTCATTTGGTTCTTAGAAGAGTCTTGTACCATAAACATAATTGCTGGTAGTCTTAATATTATTTTCATCCCCATTTTGTAGGATAAAGTTAATAATTAACAAAGATAATGTGACTTGGCTAAGATCACTCATCAAGTATATAGCAAATACTGGACTTAAATTTAAATTTAAGTATTCCGCCTCCAGATCATAGGATCTTTTCATTCCATCATCTGCCTCCCATGTTATATCCTGTAGTTACTATACAATAAGACAATGGGACAAATATTCTCTAATGCAGTGGTTTCCATTATAACCTCTGATTTGACATTATGGTATCTAAACTGGAGACATGAGAATCATACTTTATGAGCTCTAGGTAATTACTATGATTAGGTAGGCAAGTATCAATGTACTAGCTTTCCTGGTGGTGATCATTACATTCTCCTTATATAATAACCAAGAGTATATTATAATTTTTTGCTTTATTTTGTATCTTTAGATTAATATATTTGCTGTATTTTGAATGCTAGTATTTTGATTTACTCATATCTCTGAGCACTGATTTCTTATTTTTAAAATATTTTTAATTGTAGATGGACACAGTACCTTTATTTCCTTTATTTATTTTTATGTAGTTGCTGAGGATTGAACCCAGTTTTTCACAAATGCTAAGCAAGTGCTCTACCACTGAGCTACATTCTTAGCCTTGATTTCTTATTTCTTGATTTGACAAAAGAGTTGTGTCTGTATTTTGAAGCATAAGGAACTTATTTGTGGTTCATATTTATTGGATTTTTAGATTCTTAAAAACCTGCATTTTGATTATGAAATAAATTTCAGATATAGAATAATTTCATTGTGTCCAAATAAGAGCATCCTAAACTAGCTTTAATCCTTGTCCAAGTTAGGCTGATTAAAGAAAAATAAGAAAATAAAATTGTTCCGTCACCAAAACTTGCCAAACATACCTCTTCTTTAGAAAGTTTCACATAATTGCTGTATACATGATGGTAACTAAGATAACAAAACACTGAATGCTTGATTGAAAAAATTAATGTGAATTTAACCATTACAGTTGCAGAGGAAATATTAAAATAATGTGAGTTAAATATAACCTGAATGTTTTCCTTTCAGTGGTTCCAAGGGATTTTCCTTTCTAGAATTAGTAAAGAAGATTGCCTCTAATGGGAAAATATAGGAAATTATTAGGCTATCCATATCATACGTTAAAGAAAAAGAGTTAAATTTAGCAATGTTTATTTGAGAAAAAAAAGGTTGTAGAACAGATTAAATTCTATATGAAGATGATTTAGAATGTCTTACCTCCAATGTGGTAAGCTATATTTATAGGCAGAAAACCAGGAAAGAGCATAGAGATGTTATCTGATTGGTGTAGTTCAGCCCATTCCTCATTTGATCATAATTTTCCTGCCTTTTTTTCCTGAGATTGCCTGAAGGTCCATCCTGCTATATTTGGATAGGTCTCAGTCACTTGATTTCAAGGTTACTATTTATTTGCATAGCAAGCTATGGTTCAGTTCTCTATGAATGGAGGCCACTGTTGGGACAAAATTTATCATCAAAGTATGGAGATCGGTTTAATCCAATCTTAATTTAACACATGGTACCCTGGTTGTTAATACATTATAGTAACTTAAAAATTCTTTAAAGTCCAGAAGATTCAGAGAGGAATCATTTATTTGAGTTATATATAGAGAGAGTAATATCACCGTGGATCAGTTTTCTGTAAAACAACATAGGCTGTGTTAGAGTTGGGAAATTTAAAGCTAATCCTAATTGTTGGTTGGAATATGATGCCTGGAAACAAGAAAGGTAATGAGCAATATATTTAATTCTGTTCATTCAACAATCAAATTTGTAAAACTCTACCAATTATAAGACTGTGTGTGTTTCTATAGGCATTTAGATTCCTCCACTGTGTGAAATTCAAAATACACTAGTACAGCTTACATTATTATAAATACCACAATGATCACATTTTCCTAAATATTAAGCAATAAATAGTGGAAATACATCAAGTTTTCTCATAAGATTGACATATTGTAAAGAAAGTTACAAGGACTTTCAGGGATAAAAAATCTTCAAGAAATGTTTCTGAAGGTTAATGAGTAGCTCATAGACAAAAGTGGAATGAAAAAAATTTAATTATTTTGAATAATGTCTAAAGGTTATGTGTCCTGTGACATAAATTTGATACCCATTTAGATTCAAAGAACAGTGGTATTTTCATGATTATATTTGTGCATATAATAGTTTTTACTAGGGTAAAGCATTCATGATTATGATTACATTCCAAATATAAATACTAACCATAACTCTTCACTTTAATGGAGAGTGAGACAGTAATCATATGAACATATTTAAGATTATAGAGCTAATTTTAATTTTACTTTAATCCAAAATATTGTTTTCTGAAGATTACATGCCTAAATTTCTACTAGTGTTGCAGGATTCTCCACAGAGAGATAGGAAACTGGTTTATTAGTCCCAGCACTGGCACAGTGGATTCATATCCAGAGGCTGAACACTATGCACAGCCAGGGATTGCCTTACATACTCCCATTACATGTTAGCTGCTTTTTCTTCCCTATATGGCAACGCACATTCTGATTAAGTATTCTATACTATAGAGTTAGAACAGAATTGGACAGTGTCACCCCATAACAGAGTTGCAACAGAGTTGTGGCAGTGTTACCATAGAGTTAGAGCAGAGTTGCACATGTACATTGAATATACCATGTTGCTTTCTCTTTGTTTTTGGAGTATATGCACATAGCTACTGAGTGTGTCAAGATGCTTTCTCTTTGTTCTGAGAGAGCCCTTACCACACTAGATATGTGAATCTCTCTAGGAGAAAAAAAATGCAATTCTTATAAAATGTTATGATAAACTATATTTTCATTCTTTCTTACCTTTCAGACTGTATTCACAGTATACTGAAGAAATGAATACCTCCAGGTCTGAGGAGCAATACCACGCTAAAAACCATGCGGAGCAAACTCTCTGTAAAATGGAGAACTACTTGAAAGAGAAACAACTGTGTGATGTACTACTCATTGCTGGACACCTCAGAATTCCAGCACATCGGTAAGTATACTTATGCAGACAGAACATATGGTCAGTAGGGCCAACATGAATGAGGGAGAATAAGCAAATTGCTCATAAATTGGAACACTGGACAAATAGATTTATTTTCCCACATTGAAAAAAAAAACATTATATGATCCATTTCTTCATGCAATGTTTAGAAGAACCAAAGTTCAGAGAGATTATTGAAGGAAACAACACAAACTCTCTGAAAGAAGACCAGTTTACTTATCTGACCTTTCTAACTTCATTACATTTTATAGAATTATGAAAGATCTATGCAAATTCCAAACTGACCAGATTTACAAACTTATTGAAGAATGAATTTCATCTTTTTGGTGAGATTATCAATTTGATTTCAGTTCTTATGAAACATTACTATTTATAGGTTGGTTCTCAGTGCAGTGTCTGATTATTTTGCTGCCATGTTCACTAATGACGTGCTTGAAGCCAAACAAGAAGAGGTCAGAATGGAAGGAGTAGATCCAAACGCACTTAACTCCTTGGTGCAATACGCTTATACAGGTAAGTTCTGACATGAATTAACTCATTATAATTCTGCATTATATAAACTGTATTATTATTATTTTCAATCTACTGAGGATAGATGAGTTAAGTAACCTTTCTAAGGTAGTAAGAAGGGAGCCTATGAGTATTGAATCATAACAGAAAACAACGAAAGGTAAATAACATGCAGTAAAGTATTTTACCATGATAGTAGAGAATTATTTTAGCCCCCAATATAAGAAGATGTCCCTCTTGAATAAAGTTAACAAATTCTTGTTTTCAAAAGAAAAGTGGAAGTAAATTTTGACTAATTCTCTACTATAAAATTATGTTCTAATTTTATAGTAGAGAATTAGTCTCTTCCTTTGGGATTATAAATTCATATTTACTCAAATTCTAAAACATGACTCTGTGGGCCAACAAAGTATTTTGATCTTTTCTCCATAATGATTTTTTCATCTTTAGGATCTCCTACTATTTAATTACCTTTATGTAATTATATATTCATAGACTCTTCTAAAGGCTACAAGTGTGCATCTTGGCTTTCTCCAGGAGAATTGTTTTCAAACAATTTTGTTTACATTGTGCCTAAAATAAATTTGAAAAACAAAACAAAAAAAATACCCTTAAATTTTTCATTAATGACTAAAAGTTTATGTAATTTTAAATAGTTGTAAGGTGCAACATTCATAATATGTTGTAAATATTGATATTTTTCAAAAGTAACTATTACACTTGCATATTAAATGTATCTGGTGATATCTCCACACTTTATCAATTTAGTACCAGTAACCATTCATTTGAAAGTATATGTGTAGGGAAATTTCTCAAAAATTAAACATATTTTACTTACAACTCAGAGATTTCACTTTTAAATATATGTCCAAGAGAAATGAAAATATATGCACCCCAAAATGTGCACACAAATGTTTATAACAGCATTATTCACAATAATGAAAAAGTAGAAACAACCAAACTGTTTATAAAATCTGAATTTGTACATCAAACTTTGTAAATGCATAACATGTATATTAATAGGCAATACAAAAGGAATGATGTTCTGATAGATGGTACAACAAGAATGTAACTTTGAAAACATCATACCACACAAAAGACCACTTATTGTATTATTCCATCTGTCTTAGGTGTCCAGAATAGGGAAAGTCATAGAGAAAATGCATAGTGTTTGCCAGAGTATAGGCAAAATTGGGAGTGACCATTTGCAGATATAGTTAATACTTTTTTGCATTTCATGAGATATTGTCTGGGTTTTCTTTTCAAACTTCAAGAAAAGAAATAACATAAGAAAATGTACAAATGGACCAGATTACTTTACAACATATTTCACAGACTGAATTAAATATAGAACATGTCACAAAATTCTTATGGTTGTGCAGTCATATTGGATACATATTAAGTTATGTTTAGAAAGAAAAACTTAAAGAAATAGTCACTTTGGCTAAAACATTAAAAGTGGGGGTATATCTTAAAAATAACAATGTTTGCAATAAATTATCAATAATGCTTGCTCTAAAAATTGTAGATATATCATGATAAAGGAAATGATATAAATTACTTCTGATCCCATTTTTAAAAATCATTACAGATATTTTTAAACAAAGTCTATTTTTTATAAAAGCAAATACTTATATAAGCAGTTATTTATATGTAGACCCTGTGCAACATTCTCTTCCTTTTGAGTCACTTGTAGTACTCAAGTCCATGAATAATATTTGGGCAAAGATATCTTTACCAAATAATAGATGCATATACAAAAATTTGGATATAAAGGGCTCTTCTCATTTACCAAGATCTTTAGCTTCTCACAAATGACAGTTATTGTGTATGGTCAGTGGTATAATCTCTGTACAAAATGACATAATGTGCCTTAACTCATAATGTAGACAGTTTTTCCAGCTTTATTTAGGTATGATTGACAATTAAAAATAATATATTTAGGGTGATGTTCTTATGAATACATTAATAATAAATGACTGAGATAAGATTTAAATTCAGACTTAAGAAAAAACAATTTGTTGTTTTTGTAATGTTAATATTCACTGTTCATTCACCATAGTCCTTTTGATATTATACTTTGGCTCCCTTCAGTCCTATTAGTGTTTACACTCAGTCTCCCTTATGTATATCAGGCTCAAAACATATTCCTAGAGTATAACTACAGTATAGGAAAAAAAACATAGCCTTAATTTGGAGGGAAATGGAAAATTCAACTAACTAGCACATTTTTTTGCCATTCTTTATAGGAAACATAATCATTGTTTACTTTTTCAAACAATTTAGGTGTCCTTCTATTAAAAGAAGATACCATTGAAAGTCTGCTGGCTGCAGCTTGTCTCCTGCAACTGACGCAGGTCGTTGAAGTCTGCTCCAGTTTCCTCATAAAGCAGCTCCATCCTTCAAATTGCTTAGGAATTCGATCATTTGGAGATGTCCAGGGCTGTACAGAGCTCCTCAACGTGGCACATAAGTACACCATGGTAAAGCCAATTGTTTCAAAATAACTTGTACAAGTACTATGTAAATACTGGAATAAAATTAAAAGCAATATATAAACATAATTTACAGGTGACTTGCACATAATAGATAAAAATATTTGTCTAGTTGAGCAATACTCAGTTAAATTTTGTTAATCTTTGGAACCAAAAAGTTTTATTAAATCTCAAAACTTGAAGAAATGAAAATAATGCCAAAATTGAATTGTGCACGCATATATTGCAAATCAGATCTATATTATTAAGAAAAAATATTAATTCGCTGATGCTTTTGCCTAATTATTTAATTTCTAACATTGACATGTTATGATTTATAATGAAAGATAAATATCACTCAATAAGAAAATGCTAATATTAATAGATTAATTGAAAGAGCTTAATAATTACCAAAATTAATAACTCAGACAATTTTTTAGAGCTCTTACTTAAAATGTGCTAGGCACTGGGTTTATACTCAGCACCACAGAAAAGCAAACCAAAACCCTCTACAATTCTACTATTAATTATATTGAATTAAATGAAAGTGTCAGAATGCTAAACAAGTGCTCTATCACTGAGCTCTGTCCCCAGCCCTGTCAGTTTGTGGTAATTATTTAAAATTTCCATAGAATGAAATGATCTTTATTTAGTCAGGTGACAATCACATGAAATATGAGTTGTAAAGAGGCAAGGAAAACTGGACAGAGAATATAAAATAAGCCTTAGCATTAATGTTAATACTATCCTGATGCAAAGAAGAAAATGAACTTTTTTAACCTCTGAGAGTACTGACTGACATAAGAGATGGATCTTTCTATGAAACCTAATAAAGAATATTTTAAACAAGAAATGATTCCAGTTATTTAAGTTTTAAAAAAATGAAAGGCATGTGCTTACAAGTGAAAAAAGAGAATAGCATGTAAAATTGATTAGTAAATGTAACATTATTTTAGTGTAAAGACCATATATATATTTTCTACAGTTTTACACCAATCATAAAATTTTCAAATTTCTAAAATTTGCATTCTCTTAAAATTTCTTGTAAATTTTTCTTCTTCCTTCTTCCCACTCCATATCATTCCTAAACATTTGAAATTGCAAATATATTCCTTAAACAGTACCATTGTGTGGTAATCACATTATAATGGATTTGCATTTTAAAATGTGTCATTTAATTATGCTATTTGTATTCATGTGTCCTAAATACACATGCCACAGAATCTAAAGGAACAGCAGTTATGTAGTTCAAAGGTTAATCTTACCCACAAAAGCCAAACATGAAAACTTCCTGTTAAATTACTTAAATTCTTGAACTAAGTATTAACAGTTTCCTGCCTGGTATCTTACTCTTGCAGACAAAATAAGTTCTGATAAACAGCATGAATTATTTTTGTTACACAAAATGAACTTGTCTTCCTTTTCCTATTATGTGTCCCAAACTGAGTGTTAAAGCAGGATGTGTATAAAAATACAATGGTGTTGTCTCCCTTAATCCTCCTTTAGTATTATGTTAGTATCTATTGTGAGTACAATAAAATAGGTAAAGGGCTTGCTATAATAGTGCTTTTGTAATACTGCAAATAATTTTAGACCATATAATAATGCAAATAATTTTTTTAATATTTGTTTTTACTTGATGTACCTTTATTTATTTATTTATTTATATGCGGTGCTGAGGATCAAAATAAGTGCCTCACACATGACAGGCAAGTGCACTGCTACTGAGCCCCAGCCCCAACCCAAATGCTTTTGATATCTAAGAATAATGTTAAACAATTTAGAGATACAATTACAATCAGGTGAACTGCTAGATTGAATAAGCAGATTGTCCTCTATAATGTGGGTGGGCTTCATCCAGAAATACCCTTAGGGTGACACCCAGAAAAATATTTGGTCAAATGTCTGGGCACTCTGTGACATAAACAAGTTTCACACATAAAATTAACCATTTCAATCATGTAAATAGTTGTCTGTACCAATGAATCATTCAGCAAGCATGCTATATTCTTTTGTTAAATTTTATAGCAATTTAAATGTAGATGTGGAAAAGAGTTTCATAGTGAATACAAGACACAAAAGAAGATTCTTGGGAAGGTACATAGAAGAAAAAATTATTTACCTTAAACAAGGAGCAAAATAATTTCAAAATCAAAAATTTAAAATCAGACTTTAGGGCTGGGGTTGTGGCTCAGTGGTAGAGTGCTTGCCTTATATGTGTGAGTCACTGGGTTCAATTCTCAGCACCACATATAAATAAATGAATAAAATAAAGGTCCATCAACACTAAAAAATATTTTTTAAAAATCAGACTTTATGCATTACTAATTATTTGTCTACATGTACTGAATACTTCAGGGTCATATGTTGATAATTTAAAATAATACATATATTTGTTATTTAGACTTATCCAGATTGCCCAGCAATTTTCAATAGTCTTATAAGACAGCAACTCGAAGTCATACAAAATTCTATCAGAAAATCAAATTTCTAATTGTATGTAGTATGAACACCAAGTAAACCATTTCTACTACTTTCTTTACTCCCTCAAATGTATAATCAAATTTAATAGACCTTTTCCATTGAGTAGGCATCTCTTTCCTTTCTTTGTTCCTTTTGTGTCATTGTAAAATAGACACAAAGGAGAATGAAACAGTGTTTTCCATTATTTACCATAGTTTCAGAGCTTATGTAAATGTTGGCTATTGGTACCCCTAAGTTTTACAGTGTTTTATGTTTTATTAAGTCTTTAATAAAAATATTTTATCACTTACCAAAAAGTTTTAGCATTTAAAAAATGCAATAGACGTTATGTTAGAGGGTTACATCTAAGTCCAGATTTTGCAGCTTAATAGATCAAATAATATGTATTGCTGGCTTTCTCATCAGAGTAATTTCACTTCCTCGTAAGAACATATTTTGGATGGTTTAATGCTTGTGAAATATTTTATTAAAGTGTGAAATGCTGTATGAATGAGATATATTAGTAACACTATTGTCATCATTTTCTATGAGTGAGAGGATTTTCAATGTTTCTTTTTAATAGATGAGTTAATTTGAAACTTTATGACATCAGAGCTTCCTTAGGGGTCTATCAGCCTTGAGAATGCTGTATGGATAATTTTGTTATTAGGCTAACTCAGTTCTATAATGACTAATGTACGAGTAGATTTGAGGGATTGATTTGATTCATCCAGAGTCCCCAGTTATTCAGAGTCTGTCTTACTCTACTCTCAGAATATCTGTTTGCTGTGTAACATAAATTACCAGGTGCACATGTTTATGTCCATTTCAGAAGCATATTTTATAGCATTCAAAACTTCATATCTTCATTGTGAAAAATATTGTAGATTAAAATATTTAAAAAATATGTAATGTTTATAAACTAGAAAATATGGTGGTATTTTGATTAAAAAATGGAAACAGCTGTTTAAAATTTGATACTTGCTAAAATACATGAGAAAACATTTATAGAAGGGACATTGGAGATATAACAGAAATTGAAATATAGCCCTACTCTTGTCTGAAGGAACATTTCCTAACCCGTTTCAGATTGTCGAATCTGTTGACTGTGATGCATTAGAGAAGGATACATTTCCCTTGGTCAATAGTAGATCATTCTCTTCCATAAGAGGAAAGACTTTTTCATTTATCTCCTTTTATCATCTCAAAAAAGTACAATCAGTTGCTGCCTCAAATACATAGCTAGAGTTAACTCTCCCAGACCTTCAGGATTGCTTCCACCTCAAAACTTTTCAGCCTTTCTTTGGGTCTTTTTACTAAAGATCAACTAGGCAGTCAGTTCTGGAGTCAAAAACTCTTTTTGTCATGTAAACAGCTGGAAGAAAAAGCAGTATTATCAGCTCTGATATTCTTCATTCTTCCCATGTGATCTGTGAAGTAAAAGACTTTCCTTGTGTTCATTAAATAATTCCTAGTGGAAGCACTTGAACCCTAAGTTTCAGAAGGCTCCAATACTCCTGTCAGATAGCAATAGCACCTATTGCTATAAATGGATATATATCTATCTGACATTTTTAAAGATTAAAAAGTGAAATCCTTTGATATGCTTGTTTCCTTAAGAAAATTCTAAAATACAAAATTTCAGTAGATGACCTTTCTTTTCTAGGAACACTTCATTGAGGTAATAAAAAACCAAGAATTCCTCCTGCTTCCAGCTAATGAAATTTCAAAACTTCTGTGCAGTGATGATATTAATGTGCCTGATGAAGAAACCATTTTCCATGCTCTAATGCAGTGGGTAGGTCATGATGTTCAGACTAGGCAACAAGACCTGGCAACCCTGCTTTCTTACATCCGACTGCCATTACTTCCAGCACAGGTATGGAAATTTCCCCAGGTATAATGTATATTAGAGTTCTAAACTACCTCTAGGCACCAATCCATTCTTTTTTAAATTAGTTTTTTTAGTTGTATGTGAACATATTGCCTTTATTTATTTATTTATTTTTATGTGGTGCTGAGGATTGAACCCAGTGCCTCACCCATGCTAGGTGAGCACTCTACCATTTAGCCACAATCCCAGGCCACCAATCCATTCTTTGATTGCCTATTTATTCAGGGAATATTCAATTTAGTGCACTCAGTATTTATTTCACAGAAAGTCATATTCAACCTTTAATTAGAAATATTAATATGGAAAGAGAGGAAACATGGATAAAAATACAGATAATCCCTACACATCATTATATTAATTAGTTTCAGTTTCCTCTCTTGCTAAATAGCACTTGTACCAAGCAGAGAAAATAACTAGTCTGACACTTTTTCTTTTACTGCTCACCTTCTAGGCAAGGTGTTTATAATAAGTATAAGAGCCTCCCACAGGAAGGTCTAGAAAAGAATCTGATTCTGGATAATATCTACCACCATGAGTAATTATCTGCTATGATTGAAAGCATATTTTCAGATGCACTAGAGCATCATTATAATGGCATCCTCATCATGCTTGCCAAACTGAAGGAATATAGCAAGGATGCTTCTAAGCAAACAACATTGATTTAGGCCCAAGGTTGACTTATCTCTTACTGAATCTTAATATTTGCATTTTAGTGAGACTGCAGTGCAGTGCCACTGCATAATTCCATCATTGATGGTAAGCACAATTTTTTTCTTTAAAAATTTATCAAAATAGATATTATTTATACTATATATAAAAGTATATTACCCATATGCATTTCATATTTATTGGTTCTGTTAAAGTCCTCAAACAGCATCCACATCAGAAAGAGGAGTCTTGTCTAGACTTAGATAGCTTGTGATAGTTTCATAAATATTAAAATTAATCCACTTTTTAACAAAATTGTTAACTGAATGTTAATATTGATAAAGATTGTTAATCCACTGATAGTTTCTCCATATATTACTTTTAGCTGTTAATTAAATCCCATGAAACTACATACTTGCTTTTAAGACTCCATACATGTGCAATACAATAACATTGATCACCCTTCTAACTATAGCAAATTTATCCAAAGGGCAAGGCAATGGTAACACCTAAAAAAGAAACATTAACATATATATGTAATTTTAGACCCACAGTTATAAATCTAGAATTGATAGATTAACTTCATAAACTATAGAAATGTTATGTTTATGTGAATATATGTATGCTTATGTGTGTTATTCTCAAGTGATTTATTAGGTTCTCTTAAACGGCACCATTTAAAATGTTATTGTCCCAGAGGAGGGAGGAGGGAAGTGAAAGGAGAAATACTGGGAATGATACTGGCCAAATTATATTGTTATATTATGTGCATGTACCAATATATAACAATGAAGCCTAGGATTATTTACATCTATTTTATACTAATAAAAATATGGAAGAAAAATATGTTCCTGTCCTAGCAATATGGCATTACCTTGGTGCTTATTAGAAACAATTTCTCAGGCCCATTTAAGCAATATTTGGGGGTCATGTTGAGAAATTCATATTTTTAAAATCTCACCAGATGAATTTTAGACATGGAATTTTAAGATGCACTGGTGGGTATAATATATCAGAAGTCTTTAATTTTACATTCCTTTAAGTCTGTTTGACTTTTTTAGCAAAGTAATTTTGTTTGAAGTTATTTTATTGGCATGAAGGGAAATTTCCAGCTCAAACATACAACCAGTAGTCTTTTGTACTCTTATCTCTGAGTGTGTTCTGTACCTATAATATGGATTATTTAAATAATAATAGTAACAATAATAATTTTATAAGTCCTTTTTTATATTCCTTCAGATGATATATGTACAAATTCAAATGGAACAAAGTTGCAATAGATCATTGATACTACTATGAAACTTCTAGTCATTTACATAAGTGAAAATAAAAATATCTTACTAATAAGAAACTTAAACTAAAAATAACAAAAATTATACACTTGAATTAGCTTCAGTTATCTTCAAATTTATATAAACTTAAATATTTTCTTTGTAATGGTGGACTCTTCACTTATATGCCATGCATCATTTCTTTTCAGTTACTGGCAGATCTAGAAAATAGTTCCATGTTTGCTGGTGATCTTGAGTGTCAGAAGTTACTCATGGAAGCTATGAAGTATCATCTCTTACCTGAAAGAAGACCCATGATGCAAAGCCCTAGAACAAAGCCTAGAAAATCAACTGTGGGGTCTCTTTATGCTGTGGGAGGCATGGATGCTATGAAAGGTAAAAGAGAGAAATAGAAAGTGCCTTCATTCCAGAAAGAAAAGATATAGTAAACATTCTCCAAATCAGGAAGGTGGTACTAAAGCCATGTTAAATGAGTGTATGTATTTATGTGTGTGTGTGTGTGTGTGTGTGTGTGTGTGTGTGTATATATATATATATATATATATATATATATATATAAATTTTCATAAATAAGTTATTTAATGTAATTCTGTGACCTATTTTTTTCCTTTTCATATGAGATATAATGCTTTCATTGATGTTGACTAAACTCCTAATAGACACTTTCAATGTATGCAACGAATTTTCAATTTGAATATTCATATTGCTATATGAAATGTTTTCAAGGACCACTTATTTGATGTTGGTCATAAAGGAAAAGGACAAGGACCTTCAGATTTACTTTTTGAGAGAAAGAGTAGTTTCTAGATCCTGTTCTAAAATTCTTCTTAGATAGATACTCAAAGACTAGTTATAAATAATCATGAAATGCTGGAATTCAAAACTGAAAATAATGATTTTTTATAAGAATTTCATCAAATGTTATAGGGGACAGTTCCTGAAGCCATTATATCTACCAAAACCCTTTGTAGAACTTGTTTTCTATAGTTCTGCCTCTTTACACTTGATTTCTCAGTCTTTCAATCCATATTACTATAATAGAAAAAATATTTTTAATTGAGTTGGTTGCATATAAAATAAAACCATCAATCTACTTAAAGATAAAATTTATTAGTAAATCATACATAGAATGGCTACGTTGTAGAAAATAATACAAAACTAAAAGTTTTATACTACTGGAAACATATTTTTTTCCTCTGATAAGTGTAACTGGAAATTGGAACAGTACACAGGAAATATTCTGATTAATTGTAACCTTGTTGTTTAGTTTCCTGTTTTATGTATGGGAATAAGTTAGGTAATTTTTAAAAAACAAAGTTTATTTAGTTGGAGACTGGAAGCCCAACCTGTTAGAAAAGTAAAAGGGTAAAACATGTACATGTAGAAGAGAAAAACACAACAGAAACTTTGTAATGAAGTGCTATCATGGTAACTATGCCAGTCAAGTAAGAACAGCATTAATCTATTCATAAGAAAGTGACTCATGGCCCTGACTCCTTTTTGATGTCCAACTACCTCTCAATATTACCACCCTGGGGACTAATTTCTCAACAAATATATTTCAGAGAATATGTTAAAATCTCAGAATCTATTTAAAAACAGGAGGCTGAAAACACAATTATTTTCAATGTTAAATGATTATTTTACAGGTGTTTGTGCTTCAGAATTTACCAAATTACAATGGGATCCTATCATAAGTTTTAAGCCTGGCAACTGTGTATTTTCTTGCATTTTGTTGAATAGAATGAATTTATTAGCATGTTAGAAGTTTTTTTGTTATTTAAATTGAAAGGTAATAAATACAAAATTCAAATGTGGTTATCTTTAGTTTCTGATATTATTAATGGAGTCATATTTAATATGAGAATGGAAACTTTTATGTTTATTTTTGTTTGTTTTTCTTATTTTTCAGGTTCTTCTTACATTATTCTTATATAAATGAATGTTTTTAGATAATAGTTATAAGTATCTATAACTCCTTTTCAGTTTCTCTACTTTATATAAGGAAAATTTAATGAAATAGAGCACAAATTAAAAATCAGTACACTTATACAATTAAAGAAATACAACATTTTGGGAAGCCTAATAAAATAGTTGTCTGATATATCAGATTAAGGAATAAGGGTAGTAAAATAACTTCATTAATTGTGGTTTGGGTAGAATGAGCCTAAGAATTTTTATCACACAAAAATATGGGGAACTTTCTGTAATCATCAGGATTCCCCAGAGAAACAAAACCAAATGGATTTGGTTCATGTGGAATTGAGTTATGTATTGTGGATGTTTGGCACATCCAAAGTATGTCAAACAGGCTAGCAGGAAGAGTTTCAGTTAGTTTGAGTCCAAGGGCAGCATGCAGGCAAAACTCTTTCTTCTTGGGGAGATCGAACTTTTATTTCCATTGATGTCTTCAACTAATTGAACGAGGCCTCCATATATTATTTAGGGTAATCATATTTACTGAGTCTACTGTTCTGTTAATCTCATTTTTTAAAATACCTTCACAAAAGTATCTGGAAGAATGAATGTTTGATCAAACATCTGGTTGCTTTGGATTAGCCAATTTGAAACATAAAATAGACATCACAACTTCAGGCCCTGTCAGTTTGGCACCCATACACATCTCCTAAAACCATGTTTAATTTCCAAATTACCAAGGTCATACTTCCACCTAACATGATACAACTATGTGCTGCAGACAATGCACTAGAAGATAATATGGAATCATTGGGTGGTATTTACTCTTTTTCTTGATATCCTTTGATGTCTAATTGATGACTTAAATATTAAAATGTAAAGTAAACAATGTTATAATATTGTGATATAAAATCAATTAATCCTATAACAGGAAAAAGGGATAATAGAAGAAAAAAGAAAATTACAGTGCTCATTTATGTAACTCATCTTGTGTTTGTAGCTGGTGTTTTTAATGATCTTCTTCTACTACCCATTCTTTGTTTTCTTTCTCCTCAATAAGCATTTCAGCTGGGCTTAGTTTTTTTTTTTTTTTTTTTTTTGAAGGATGGCAGGGATTGAACTCGTGAGCACTTGACCACTGAGTCACATCCTCAGTCCTATTTTGTATTTTATTTAGAGACAGGGTCTCACTGAGTTGCTTAGCACCTCACTTTTGCTGAGACTGGCTTTGAACTCACGATCATTCTCTCTCAGGCTCCTCTGCCGCTGGGATTACAGTTGTGCACCCCAGTGCCCAGCAGCTTCTTTTTAAAATTAGTTCATTATAGTCATGAATAATATTGTGGGTATTTTGACCTACTCATAAACGCATAGAACATAACTTGCACCAATTTAATCCCCAGTACTTCCCCTTTCCTACCTCTCTTCCCTCCTACTGATTCACTTGCCCTACTATTTTTCCATTTATTTGTTGTTTTTATACTTGGTGCATTATAGTTATACATAAAGTGGAATTCATTCATTATAATGTATTCATACATGCACATAACATGTATTCACTTTAACTCCATAGTTACTCCCTTTTCACATTTGTCCTCCTTCCTCTTCAATCTCTTTCCTCTACCCCACTGTTCTCCCTTCTATTTTCATGACCTTCCTCATTTTTTTCCTTATGTCTATCTAGCTTCAGCAGATGAGAGAAAACATTAAATTCTTGACATTCTAAGTCTGGCTTATTTCACTTAGCATGATCCTCTCCAGATTCACCCATTTTATCAGCAAATGACATAATTTATTTTTCTTTATTGCTGAGTAAAACTCCATTGATTGTATGTATATATCACAATCACTTTATACATTTATCTATTTATGGGTACCTATTCTGGTTCCATGACTTGGCTATTCTGAATTACACTGCTATTAATATTGCTATGCATGTATCATTATAAATGCTTATTCTAGTTATTGTGGATAAATACCAAGGAGTGCAATACTTGGATCATTTGGTAATGATATTCCTAGTGTTTTGAAGAATCTCCATATTGCTTTCCAAAGTGGTTGTACTAATTTGCAGTCCCACCAAAAATGCATGAGTGTACTTTTTCCCCCATATCTTCACCAGCAATTATTTTATTCTTGATGATTGCTGTTCTAACTGTAGTGAGGTAAAATTTTAGCGTTATTTTTAGTTGTATTTCCCTCATGGATGTCAAAATGTTTTCAAATATTTGTAGATCACATGCATTTATTTATTTTTTGAGAAGTGTCTATTTAGTTCATTTGCACATTTATTGATTCGGTTATTTTTTTTGCTTTAAGTTTTTGAATTTCTATATACACAGGTTATTAATTCCCCAATGAAATAGTATCTGCCAAAGATTTTCTTCCATTCTGTAGGCTCTGTCTTCACACATTTATTTCCTTTATTGTGCAGAAGCTTTTTAATTTGATGCCATTCCACTTATTGATTCTAAGTCTTATTTCTTGAATTTCCAGGAGTCTTAGTCTTTAGGAAGTTGGTCCCTGTGCCAGTATGTTGGAGTGTTGACCTATGTTTTCTTTTAGCAGTTGCTTTTTTCTTGTCTAATTCCTAGGTCTTAGGTCTACTTTGTATTGATTTTTGTGCAGGGTGAGGTCTAAATATCTAGTTTCATCATTCTACATATAGATAGCCAATTTTTCCAGCAGTATTTGTTAAAAAGTCTACCTTTTCTCCAATGTATGTTTTTGGCACCTTTGTCAAGGTTAAGATGACTGTTAATATGTGAGTTTTTCTATGTCTTTCATTCAATTCCACTGATCTCCATGCCTGTTTTTATGCCAATACCGTGCTCTTTTGTTATTTTATCTCTGTAGTAAAATTTGAGATTTGATATTGTCATGTCTCCAGCATCACTCTTATGGCTTAGTATTGCTTTGATTATTCTGGGTCTTTTATTTTTCCAAATGAATTTTAGAATTGTTTCTTCTAGTTCTGTGCTAAATGTCATTGGTATTTTTATGGCAATCACATTGAATCCATAGATCACTTTTGGTAATATTGCCACTGTAACAATATTAATTCTGCCTATACAAAAATATGGGAGGTATTTCCATCTTCTGAGACCTACAATTTCTTTTTCCTGTTGTTCCATAGTTCTTATTGTAGAGGTACTTCACATCCTTGGTTAGATTTGGTATCAAGTGTGTTATACACTTCTTAGAATAAATTTGGGATTGTCCCTTCCCTTTGTATTCCTAGTTTCTTCAGTGTTTTTAGCAAGAATGTTTTCTGCATCTATTGATAAGACCATGTGTTTTTTGTCTAATTCTATTTATGTGGTGAATCACATTTATTGATTTGTATATGTTTGACCAACTATGCATCTCTTCAGTGAAATGAGCCTCATTATTATGTACAATCATTAATATGTTTTTTAAGAGAGAGAGAGAGAGAGAGAGAGAGAGAATTTTTTTAA